CCACTGCACTAGTGTACGGGATCCTACTCATGCGTTCTCTCTCTTCAGGTGTTTTAGGACAATCCTCCCTACTGAGAGTAATTCCAGTGCCAATTGGTAGATAGCCTCTTTTGGAATTATCCATGTTATACCTCTTTAAGATGGTATCAATGTACAAAGACTGGGAAAGTCCAAGCAGCTTCCTAGATCTATCTCTATAGATCTTTATTCCTAATATATAAGCTGCTTCTCCCAAGTCTTTCATGGAGAACTGTTCAGATAGCCAAATCTTGGTACTTTGCAATGCCGGTATGTCATTCCCTATGAGCAATACATCATCAACATACAACACTAAGAATATAATTGTGCTCCCACTAACCTTTTTGTACACACAAGGTTCTTCTTCGCATGTAACAAAATTGAACTTTTCAATTGTCTTGTTAAAGCGAATATTCCAACTTCGAGAAGCTTGCTTTAGTCCATAAATGGATCTTTGTAGCTTGCAAATTTTATTATGATCAGACGAAGATGTGAAACCTTCAGGTTGTGTCATGTACACATCCTCTTCTAGCTTACCATTAAGGAAAGTTGTTTTCACATCCATTTGCCATATTTCATAATCATAGTATGCTGCTATAGCAAGCAAAATCCGAATTGATTTGAGCATTGCCACGGGAGAGAAAGTCTCGTCATAGTCGACTCCTTCTTTATGACGATATCCCTTGGCAACAAGACGGGCTTTGTAGGTCTCCACCTTTCCGTCTGCTCCAATCTTTTAAACCCATTTACAACCTATAGGTTTTATATCCTTTGAAGGTTCAACTAAAGTCCATACTTTATTTTCCTTCATGGATTCCATTTCGAATTTCATGGCCTTTTTCCATTTCTCATAATCAGAACTTTGTATAGCCTCTTCATAGGTTTTAGGGTCATCATCATTATGATCAACCTCATTTGATACACCATCCTGTACCATTAGATTTAATTTAGTTGGTACATGACGTTCTCGTGTAGACCTTCTAAGAGGTACTTGTACAACCTGTTCACCTTGTGCTGGATTTGGTTGGTGTTCAATTTGGTTTGGAACTGGTTCATTAACCTGTTCTTGAACTACATTTAGTTCTTGAACTTCAACCGTTGAAGATGGCAACTTCCTTGGCAACTTCAAAACATCCAATAAAGGTTCTTCAACTTGGGTCTCATGATCTTTATATTGTGTTGTTTCATTAGTTTCTTGAACTTCATCAAGTTCTATTTCTCCATCATAATTTCCTTCTAAAAGAAATTCCCTTTCCAAAAAGGTTGCTCCTCGGCGACAAACACTTTATGGTCAGAAGGGTGATAGAAATAATATCCCATTGTTTCCTTGGGATACCCAATGAACCTACACTTATCAGATCTTGAGTCAAGTTTATCAGACTGCAGTCTATTAACATAAGATGGACAACCCCAAACTTTAATGTGTTTGAGGTTAGGCTTACGTCCTTTCTATATCTCATATGGTGTTGTGGAGACTGACTTAGTGGGAACTTTATTAAGTAAGTATGTTGCTGCTTCCAAAGCATATCCCCATAAATTAATTGGAAGATCAGTGAACTCCATCATAGATCTCACCATATCTAATAAGGTTCGATTTCTCCTTTCAGACACACCATTGTGTTGTGGTGTTCTTGGAGGTGTCCACTGTGAGAGAATCCCATTCTCTTTGAGATATCTAGTAAAATCTTCACTAAGATATTCTCCACCTCTATCAGACCTTAGTACTTTGATACTTTTACCAGTCTGTTTCTCAACTTCACTACGGAACTTTTTGAACATTTCAAAAGATTCAGATTTGTGTTTCATAAGATACACAAATCCATATCTTGACATATCATCAGTGAAGGTGATGAAATAAGAATATCCACCTCTAGCTTGAATTTTCATGGGCCCACAAACATATGTATGAATTAGTCCCAATAATTCAGAAGCTCTTTCTCCACTTCCAGTAAATAGAGATTTGGTCATTTTTTCTTTGAGACAAGATTCACAAGTTGGATATGATTCAAAATCATATTTGTCAAGGTACCCTTCCTTGTACAACTTGTTAATTCTTTTTTCTCCAATATGACCAAGCCTACAATGCCAAAGGTATGTATGATTTACTTGATCATCTCTTTTCCTCCTAAGACTTGAAACATGCATAATCGAATTAGCATTCACATTAGGTAAGACATAAACAACATGTTGGAGATAGCCATTCACATATAAATTATCACTATAATAAATAGAGCAAATACCATTGCCTATGTTAATGCGAAAACCACGTTTGTCTTACATAGAAGCTGAAATTATGTTCGAAACAAATTTAGGAACGTAATAACAATCATCCAACATAAGTACTTTGCCCGTAGGCATTATTAAAGAAATCGATCCTACAACTACGACCGCAACTTTTGCACCATTTCCAACTTGTAGATTAACTTCTCCTTTATTCAACCTTCTACTTATTTGGAACCCTTGCAACATATTGCAGATGTTATAACCACTGTCAGTATCTAATACCCACAATGAAGAATTAGTAGTAGTTAAAGAAACCTTGAAAATATTTTTCATCAAAGTCTTACCTTGTTTCTTGTCCTTTAAAGTTACAAGATACTCCTAGCAATTTCTCTTTCAATGTCCTATTTCCTTACAATGGAAACATCAACATCAGATTGGTCAGCTTTACCTTCTTTGCCTTTGGGTTTGGCCACACCACCCTTTGGCGCAGTAGGCTTTTTCGTGGGTTTACTTTTACCCTTACCTTTCTTCTTAGAAGAGTTTCCAACCCACATGACAGTTCCTTTCTTCTTCTCAGATGCAAGTTGATTCTCAAAATCAATCAGCATGTTAAGCATCTCATGAAGATCATAATCCATTTTATGCATATTGAAATTAATAACAAATTGTGAAAAGGATTCAGATAGTGACTGTAAGATAAAATCTTGAGAAAGCTCTTTGCCCAGTTAGCACCCCAACTTCTCAAGTTCTTCAATAAGATCAATCATATGATTGACATGGGGTCCAACTGGAGAGTTTCCAGTCAATTTGGATCCAAATAAAGCCTTAGATAGCTGGTATCTAGTTGTCCTGCTTTGTGTACCAAACATCTTCTTAAGATGTTCAATGATTGCAGTTGGATCCATATCCTGATGTTTCCTCTGTAGTTCAGAACTCATAGAAATGAGAATTAATATCCACATTGGTAAGAAAATTCAAGTTAATAAGATGTTGGCCACATATTTACAATTCGTTACCTTGGAACTTATTGTAAAAAAATTATCAATACGAAGATTTGAGTATATTAATTCAAAGTTCTAAAATATTTTTATTGTTAAAAAATAGATAGTCTTTCTTTCCATTTTTATAAGGATTTTGTATTTTTTCTTTTTGTTTTTTTTTATAAACTTCAATATTGTCTAAGCAAAAATAAGATAGTAAATTCACAACTAAAAATACTTTTGGGGTCCCAAATTTAGGAGGCTTAAAGCAAAGGCTTTACTAGCTTGCCCTCGAGCCACCCCTGAGATTAAGTTATATACATGATGCTGTAAATAAATTTTATATCAGTTGCATAGTTTAAATAATTTGGTAGATTCCTACTCTACTTTTCAGGTTATCAGTTCAAATTAATTTTTATCTCTAATTATCTATTGTTCCAGATTTTTTTTATTTATATAAAATGTATATATGTAACATGAGCTATCAGTTTGGCGAACAAAGTACCCCCTTCGGTCCAAAATAAGTGATTTTTTGGCTATTTTCACACAGATTAAGGAATCCACCTTTTAACATTAAGTAGCAATGAAATTGACCATACTAACCTTTACTATCTCACATAAACACTCCTAACACATACTCCAATGCTATTACTTCAAGGGCAATGTAGGTAAAAAATAATTAATTCATTCTTGAAATCTGTAAAAATCACTTATTTTGGACCACAAAAAAGGCAAAAAAATCACTTATTATGGACCGGAGGGAGTATATCTTTAGCCTAGGCCCTATATATGTGTTCGAAAGTCACCTAATATTGGATTTCGATAGGACTGAGTAATAACATTTGTAAACTCCCGAACATAGGCCCCACAAGCCAATGGTTACATAAATTAATTCACTCCAACCTTCTCCAGCTTCCCCATAAAGTTAACACACGCATTTTTTTTATCACTAAACCTTTGGAATATCTGGACTACTAGAAATAAGATGCTATATGAACACACTTCGCTAAAACCAAATACACATCTTGTTTTAAATCAAACAATTGAGCTAACCATTACAAATTAAATACGGATGGAGCAACATCTTCCGAAACAAATACTGATGGAATTGGAGGAGTAATTAGGAACCACCTAGGCGCTTGGATGGTGGGCTTTGCTGGTCATGTCCCACATGTACATTGTATCACTGCAGAGCTGCATGCACTCATAAAGGGGCTAAGTCACGCTTTGCAAATGCAACTAATCTTGTTGGAAGTTGAAACAGATGCGCAGGAGGTAATCACACTTTTAGATACAGATAATTCTAAGTACACTAACCTAATTTGTGACTGCAGGCACCTCCTCAGGATGCTACATGATCCACCAGTTCGACATGTGTACACGGAACAAAATGGAGTAGCAGACCAACTTGCAAAGCTAGGAAGTAGGATGCAAGATCAGACTACGCTGCAAATTTTTGTTAAACTACCGCTTATTGTATCGGCTCAACTGCAGGCAAATCAAATGGGAACAACAACTCAACATTTAGTATCTATACCAGATGCACAACAAGTTGCTTCTCAAGATCGGAAAACATGTTTTGTTAATAACCGTGTAGCTAATGAGGTTGTTGCCAATACTGTTTTGACAATAGATAGGATAGCAACCCTCTATCAGTGATAATGTATTTAGTGCTAGTATAATTACTATGGTGCACGAGCACCAATCCTCTGTAAGCAACTTTTAATTTAATCAAGTCATCTTTTATACCAAAAAAAAAAAAAAGTCACCTAGTATATACGAATATTAAATTTCGAACTCAGAACCCATAAAATTCTGATCCAAACTTAAACTCCATGACGATTTTTTTTTCTTTTTTCGAACAGACTGTATTCAAAAACTTTGAGAGCAGGCCACAAGGATAGAGCAAATACCCAAATCTGTTCTTACAAATTCAATTTTGCCCTAATAATAATGAAAGCTAATTTGAATGTTTTCATCCCATTCCGTTTTCTTTCCTTAAACCCTGCCAGATTCCTGTCCATAGGTGGCTTGCCTTATCCTGAAGCCCAAGAGGACCAAACAGAAAGCCTCAGTAGTCCTTCAACAGATCCTTCAGATTTGCTAAGGCGATGGGGCTGCACTGCTGATGATATTTCCAAGATTTTTCAGCGCCGCCCATCTTTGCGCAGAATGGAACACAAAAACCTTCAATCGAAGCTCAAAATACTCAGCGATTTAGGTATTGAATCCTCTGACCTTACCAAGATTCTTAACTGTCGTCCTCGTTTCCTTAATTGTCGTATCAATCGTTGCTTAGAGGAGCGTCTTGAATTTTTCCAGACTTTGTTTGGTACCAAACAAGTTCTTCTCAAGGCTATTGTGAGAAATCCATCGTTGCTTACTTATGACTTCCACAAACAGATTAAACCAACTGTAGCATTTTATGAACAGTTGGGTCTTAGCAGAAGTGATTTAATTTCCATGCTTTTAGCTCGACCAACTCTCATACCAAGAAGTTCCCTGGATGATGAGAAGATGGATTACATTCGAAGAACCGGCGTGGAAAAGGGTACTAGGATGTTTAAACATGTGATTACGTTGTTTGCTATTTCACGGTCGGAGACTATCCGACAAAAGGTGGCTAATTTGGAGAAATATGGGTTTACTGAAGATGAGGTTTTTAGGCTTTTTGGACGGTCTCCTTTTTTGTTAACATTATCTGTTGATAAGGTTCAGAGGAACATGACATTTATATTGGCTACAATGAAGCTTTCTGCCAGTTTGGTTCTTGATAACCCATGTTTGCTTTTCTTGAATTTGGAGACCGCCATGAAGCCAAGGTATTTTGTAGGGGGTAAGATAGATGATATGGGTCTGCTTCCTCGTGTGAAGGGTCCTTCGTTGTTAAGAGCAATGAGGATGACCGAAAAGCGCTTCATCAAGGCCTTTATAACTTGTCATCCGGAGGACGTGGCTCGTGAACTGATGGAGTACTACGGAAGCGTTAAATGTGTTAGAAGGTTGGCAGAATCCTCCAAAAAACATTTGTGCAAAGGATTCCCCTTTTGAGAACAGAGGCTTCTCCAACTATTATTTGACTCTGTTTCTTATTGAATTCCTTTTCCTTTTTCATTGACTAAAAGCAGATTATACATGTATCATTGACTAGCTGTGTATGCTTGATTGTTGTTTTGAAGTATAGTCAATAGGAATGATATTCTGTTGGCGGAGTGGATGGAGACTAATATAAAGTTACCTTGTGATATAATGTATTTCATATCCATATTTATTTCTAGCCAAATGCAAAAGTTTTGAAATGCCTGACTTGTTATTGATAATGATTGGTCTTTTCCTTGTTAAGACATTATGTTTTGTGTATGAGTTCACCGAAGTTATGACGCCAATTATAGTGATTTAACTAGGGGATAGTGTCTTTTTTGTTGTAAAGTGGCATCCGAGTTTGTATTACTGCTTTGTTGAATCAACTGGTAGAGATGTGATTCTTAGAGAACTATATAGAAGCAATTGTTTATGGGGTTTGGACCCCATTGTGATGTTCTTACCTAGATTTTGTTGATTCTTAAAGTATAACATGCCTCAGCTCTCCCCTATAGACCTTCCTGAGTGTTAGCTCAAATTGGCAGTCTCCGCAAATCAGTGATGTGGGTAAGATGTTTCTACTGAATTTGCTTTCAGTTGCTTATACTTGAGCCATGGATAATGGTGTGGAAGCGAGGCTACTTGATTCACAAATAGAAAAGGTGGACGACTTAAAAGGGAGAATCTACGACGAGTCTAAGAAGATATGGAGAGTTGCATTACCAGGAGTACTATCAAGAGTAGCTTCATTTGGAAGTATAGTTGTCACACAATCATTCATTGGACACATTAGTGAATTAGATCTTGCTGCTTATGCGCTCGTACAAACTCTTACAGTCCGATTCGTCAATGGTATACTGGTAAGTTTGCTCCTGTTATCTTTTATTACAATCTTCTTATTGTTCAGAAAATGTACCATGTACATCATATATAATGTGCTTGTTCCCGTTGTCTGATAGAAAATTATGCACGATATTGTATAAATGCAAACATAACAACATAATGCAGAGTCAGAGTAGTGTCGTTCATAGAGAATCATATCATGTTGCAGACTCTAGATTCTCTACCTTTTGGTATACCGCTTGAATACAGGAGATTTTCCTGTTATAAAATTATTTACCTTATCACAATTAAAACAAATTTAATGCAGACAGAGGTGTATGTGTAATGTAGGTCATGTAACATATATAAGGACTAATCGAAAGCCACCTGACGGTTAGAGTATTGACTTATGAGATCTTAAGGCGTGTCATGGGCTAGTTGATATAGTTAATTCTCACATTTGCTTGAATTTTGTGTTTATTGTGGTAGATTGGAATGTCAAGCGCGACAGAAACGCTTTGTGGACAAGCATATGGAGCAGGGCAGTATCATATGATGGGAATCTACTTGCAAAGATCATGGATTGTTGATTTCATGACATTGACCGTCTTGCTTCCGTTTTTATCTTTGCCACTGTATTTAAGCTACTCGGTGAGAATGGATCAATTGTGGAAGCTTCTGGATACGTTTCCTTCTGGTTCATTCCCTTTGTCTACAACTTCGTATTTAGCTTGACGATCCAGATGTTCCTTCAAGCACAACAGAAGAACATGATTATTGCTTGGCTATCTATAGAACAATTTGTAATCCATATCCATTGTCTTGGCTACTAGTTATCAAGCTAAACTATGGAGTCCTGGTGCCATGATTGCGTTGAGCATATCATCGTGGTTTGTAGTGGTCGGGGAGTTTGTGTACATCTTAGGAGGTTGGTGCCCTAACACACGGAAAGGATTCTCTTCAGCAGCGTTGAAAGATATACTACCTGTCGTGAAGCTTTCAATATCCTCCGGTATCATGGTTTGGTAAATCCTTTTCCTTAACTTATTATTCTCGATTTTTTTGTTAAACATTCTTGATGTGCATGAGCAGTGCTGCACCAGTAATACGGAGCTTAAAAGCTATATCAAATTGTTGATAAGTTAGACCTTCGACCAAATTTAAACTTCATTAAACACATTTATAAATCTGGAAAAGACCCGAGGGGTTAATTTGTTTTTGTTGTTGGTTGGAGCTATGGTACAATGCTGTTCTGGTCCTGCTCGCAGGATATATGAAGAACGCTGAAGTTGCTATATCTGCCTTCTCTATCTGGTGAGATTTTCTTTCTCTTTTCCTTTTTTTAATATGGATTATTTCATTTTGTTTGCTGCACAAAGAACATGTTGATCAATTTAAAATAATGTTGCAGCCTCAATATCAACGGATGGGAGTTTATGATAAGCCTTGGCTTTCTTGGTGCTGCTTGGTACGCGACTATTTCCCTATGAAACATCGATATCTATTTCCATCTAGTGTTTAGCCACCTTCCATTTTGACTTTTTTCCTTCAATTGTTTCCTTGTACAGTGTCCGGGTTGCAAATGAACTCGGGAAAGGAGATGCTAAGGCTACAAAATTCTCCATTAAAGTCTTAGTGGGCACTTCAGTTATAATTGGATTGTTCTTCTGGAATCTGTGCTTGATCTTTGGCAACAAGCTTGGTTACTTATTCAGCAATGAGAAGGCGGTAGCTGACAGCGTCGCAGACCTTTCTACTTTACTCGCCTTTTCAATTTTGCTCAACAGCATTTATCCTGTACTATCAGGTAAGTTTATTATCCTCTGAAATAGCTCGAAGTCGGAAAAAAAAATAATGAGAAAGTTGACAAAGTTACCAAAAATGTTTGAAAGAATGTATTGTGTGTTTCATAGTATTTCTTGACACTTAAAATTTTGTAAATTTCATAGGTGTGGCAGTAGGAGCAGGTTTACAAAGCACAGTTGCAATCATAAATCTGTGTTGCTTCTATTTGATTGGAGTACCTATTGGAGCTTTGCTTGGTTATGTGGTTCATCTTCAAGTGAAGGTAATTTTCACTTAAAATCAAGGATCTCTAGATTCGTTTAACATGACATTTTTGAATTTGAAACCGTCTAAGGTTAAGTGTGAGATTTAGAGCGCCTTTAAAAAAAAAAAAAGAGCAGCTCGGTGTACTNAGCTCCCGCCCCGGGAGTGAAGTAAGAAAAGCTCTGGTACCCCCTATCCTACAACCCTGATGCTAGACCTCCAGACAATCCTATCAAGGGCCATGTCCTCGAACCTCCGCATTCTTGCCATGTCCTGCCTAATCACCTATCCCCAATACTTCTTAGGCCGCCCTCTCCCTTTGCTCGAGCCAGCCACCGCCAGCCGCTCACATCTCCTCACCGGGGCACAAAATCTACCAAGAAGCATCTTTAGTTGAGCACAAGAGAAAATTTAATAATATATTCGTGTCTTTCTACAGGAGAATTGAACTTTAAGATTGGCTGCAACATATCATTTTCTATGCTTATAGGTTTGTGCTTATGTTTTAGTTAGCTTCCAGCTTTCACTTTGGTTTTATCAATTCCTTTATGTGTTTAGGAAGGAATCTCCACTATTTCCAGCATTTCTGTTTCATTTAGAAGATCACTGCATTTGGACATTTTTATTTGATTGAGAAAGTAGTATTCTTTAATTAATTTCTCAAAACAGTTTTCTGGTAAGCGAAATACCCTGCAACTATACCTCTCCCAGGACACTACATTTCTTTCCAGCTTCAGTGCCATTGTGTTTAACGTTCATTCAAATTTAGAACCCACAATAATGCCCCAAATACACTTGATTAAACTTCACTTTGATTAAAATATACAAGGAGAGTAACAAAATAATTGTAGATCCATCCAAGACAATCCCACGCTAGATCCCACATTTGAAACGAGGTGTTTTATTGAGAGTTAAAACCGATACTGTCAAAATCTGTTTAAGAACTATGCCAATTCAAACGAGTTGCTGTCATTTTCTAATATTGGTTTCTGAAGTGTTCTATATAGAGTGGGAAAGTGATTCAGAGATCCCATATTAACTTTGATTTATGTTTTAGATAGTGTTACAATTTTGTCTATTATGAGTTTTGTGTGTGAATAGATGCAGACAATAATTTAAATGTGTTCATCATAAAAGAAATTGCTCCTATTATATATTTCTTTTCTATTATATAGGAGAGCCAAGTGTGGTCGACCAAGGGTAAAATTGTCTTTACAATCTCAGTCTAGAAATGTCTTTTCGTTCCCTTTTTTTCTCTTCGTCTTTTCCATCTCTGCCAGGCTTTTTTAGCTTCATTTGCCATAAAATACGTACTCCTACTCGGCCGGCGATAACAACCAAAGCCCATGGGTAAATATAATGGAGATTTTTGTGTCTGTTTCTCTTAGCTCTTTCCTTTTCTTTTTCATTCTTTTCTTTCCTAAGTTTCCTTTCCAAGGACCATACTGGAATTTGGGTCTACTTCTGAATTTGATCCTAATTAAGTAGTTTCCTTTCGGATATATGTGCATTCCACCTTCACTTCCTATGTTTGCATTATGTATTCTCTGTTTCTTTTATTAAACTTTCTAGCCATCGATACCAATGATGTAAATTTGAATATTTGTATCTTGTCTCCTTCCTTCCAACTTATGAAAGCGTGACATAGCTTCTTCAACAAGTACATTCTTAAAATAACCACCAAGCAAAATGCAATGAGAGCATGAATCCGGTACGCGCCCCGCTGATATCATCTCAACAAAGAATTTTTGTGCAGAGGTAGTTCTTCCAAGTTCAAAAAGACCATGCAAGATAATATTGTAGGCAGGAATATCACGTTCAATCCCTTTTGAGAATGATTGCATGGCCTCGTCCACCTTTTTGTTCCTACAATATCAATTTATTAGAATGCTATAGCTAATAATACTAGGCTCAATACTCTTATCTACCATGGAATTAAAAAATTTCCTTGCTCTCCATTGACCACACATACAATATCCGTCCATTATCACACTGTAGGCTAAGTTGCTCGGACTCGGGCTCGGGTATCCAATACGGGGACGGATCCAAGTATCGGATTCGGCAAGATCTAAATTTTAAGATTCGGGGGTGCGGATCCGGATATGGATACGGGTGCGGGAATTCGGCTAATAAAAAATAGAGCTATAAAAATATTGCAAATTTTGAGAGATATCTGTGAGAAACTTACAGGAATATTGTGGAATTCTATCTTTTCATTCTCTCAGATGGACATTATTCTTTCATTCTTCTAAATCTGTTTTATTTTTTAATTTGAAAATCAAAATCTCAATTTTTCTCCTAAAGTTGTCATTG